AAAAAAATTGAAACCTAATAAGTTCTCCTCGTTTGTTTTCAGAAGGCTTGAATGCATCCAAGGAGAAGATCCTTGGAAATACGAGTCTCGGGGCCGTATTCAGATACACAAGATTCGCGACCCATGAACACCATCGCATCGCCTTTATCAGCTTATGTCAGAACTCGAAGATTTCAAAGCGAGTAACTCCGGTCGAGGTAAACGATAAAATAGGACTTTTTCTCGATAAGATCAGAGAGCGCAGTCTTGCTACAGTGTTTTCCACTTGAATTAGACAAATTCTCACTTGACTCGGACACACGTGCATGGGGACGTTCCTCATGCATGAGTGTCGAAGTCAAGTGAAAAAGTGTTCGACTCGAGAGAAAAATACTATAATAGAGATAAAGTTGTCGCGAGCAGGGGAACGGTCGAAGGAGTGTCAAAATCAAATAGAGCCATCTATTCTTAAAAAAAAAGGTTATGGCGAGGTGGTGAAGGGTTGTGTACGAACCTTTCCTGGAGTCCAAGACGGCGAGCGAACCGATGTTTTCTCAGTTCCATTGTCCGATTTTTATTCTACCTCTTCTCAATCCAGATCTCTCTCAAATATTTCCAGTAATCCCACCCTCCCCTATTATATTTAAACGCCCTTCGAACCTGGAAGACTTTCCAAAAGACAGAATCTCTCTTGCATCTCTTCGAACGTAATTTATCTCATTACGACCGCGTCACCGTGGCTCAGTGGATAGGGGCTCGGGCTAGCACGGGAGGTCCAGGTTCCGAATCCGACATGCGGTATTCTCCTGGGCCAACAGCCCACCCGGCTGCTTTCGGGTACTACCTGCTCTCCCTTGGGCTCAAGCATAGGCCACTCTGTGCTACATTGTGTGAGAGGTAGGGGTTTGGTGAGCCTTAATAGCTACCTGACGCATCGGCCCTAGCGGTGATGAGCAGTGATTGAAGGCTTCAGGCAGAGTAGAGGTGTAACTAGAGGCTCCATAGAACTCCACTCGAATCTCATTCATTGACAGGTTCGCAATATAGATGTCATTGTCGATCCTCCACCTAGCGTGCGCAGATCAACAACTCCTCCACAGCCGAGCTCAACGAGACACGCGTGTTACGTCATGGTCCTTAGAATACCAGGTCACGCAGCTCCCCGCCCATCTGACTCTAGGGACCCCCTTCCCCTTCACTGTGTGTTGGCCGTTTGTGGCATTTACCCTGGTTTGTGTGTCCGTCCCAGTCCACGTTTAAAAAATTAATAGTAATAAAAATGATCTCCTTACGTGAAACTGTCACGGCAGTCACTGGGTCCCCGTCCCCATATGTGGGGGAAACTGGCCGACCTTCTCTGGTCAGAACACGCGAACGCCTCCGCTTAAATTACTGTCAACCAACCAGGTGCCATTTCAGCAGCAGCTCTCACTCCATCACCAATTTAAACATCATCCCAATCGAAGCAGTCAAATTTGATGACCCGATTTAATGAAGAAGCTGGGAAACATTATGGGTCTTAGAAACAAAACTGTCCATCAGCACCACCTCTTGAACCATCCATATGTGCGTCCCTGTTTTTACTTTTCACTTTTTTCATCTCTGTATTTTTCCATTTTGCCCGCTCTCCGTTCGTTTTCCTTAGTTTTGAATATTTTTATGGTGCAGTATCCTTTTCTACTATTTATCATTTCTTAATCGGTCTCGTTTCTTCCCCCCCCCCCCCCCACATTTCCCCTTATATTAATTTTTTCTCTTTTTTTCATTCCTTTCTTTTTACACCATTTTTGTACATTTCTTTTTTTTTTACTATTATTTTCAGATATCCTGAACTCACTCCTTTGAAACGTTGAAGTTTTTCTTCTTAATAAACCTTCATCTGGTTGGGAATTTCTCCTGATGTCATTTTTTTTCTTCACTCCCAGTGCTCTTTAAAGATCCTGGATTAGCTGTTTGGTGGCTTTCGTCACTCGCTTCATTATGCAATCCGTTTCTGACGAGTGCATACAACATGATGGCTGCCTTCTCTGGTCACCATGCGTGATCGGAGGTTCAATCATTTAATTCCAGACGAGGTCTTTCAAGGGCGCAAGAGAAGTGAAAAGTTAACGTCTACGCCTCTACCGTTCGACCCCAGTAAGGGGTAAATGATGATGACCGAAAGCTGAGACCACGAAATGTCTTTCGTAGATACTAACTCTTAGGACTTTATGCCCATTGATTTCTCATTGAAACGGAGCAGTGGTAAACCCTAAGAAACCTCGGTGCTTAAACTACGGCCTGCGCCGAGATCTAATTATCCTCAAAGTTGAGATCGAAATCCTTTCATGAATCCTCGACCCAAACGCCAGTTGAGCTGGTGGCTTGCCTCCGTTCGTACCAATTAGAAATGCCCGCAAGCCACAGGTTTTAAGTAAAGGTTTAGATAAGTAGACCCTGGGGAGGTCACTGTTCGAGCGACCAGCTCCTTAACACGTTGGCGACAATGCGTCCTGATGCCAGGATGCAGATTTTTTTTCAATGAATACCCTCTGGAACTGTTGAGAACGTTCCAGAAGATTATGATTTCGTAATTACTGATAAAAATTCCAAAAAATTCAACATTAAAAAAAANTGCACCAGATGCAAGAATCTTTTCTATTCTTTCCTTAGTGATGTGGGATTCTCGATCACGAATTGCTTCCAATTTTTCAGGGTCACTCACTAACACCTAAAAGACAATTGGAAGAGGAAAGATTTTATGACAATCAAGACTCAGCTCAGAGAAGACTCAGTATACAACACTTGCCTGCACTCCAAGTTTCATTTTGGCTTTCTGGAGAGAAAAGTCCAAGCATGCTATCTTGGCATTTGTGACCTTCTTCACCATTGCTGAGAAAGGGAATACAATGCTGGACTGATGATATCACTTATTAGGACTATGACACTACAGTATGAGGTTTATGATCATAATGCTCACCCTGGGATGCAACAGTGCAGTTGATGGCATAACCATTCACCAGAATGCTTTCCCTGGCACTTTTGCCATGTGCTTTAAGTACATTCACAGCCTTTATAGGATATTTGAATGACCCTTTCCCATCAGACACCTTAACTGCTTCAGCTGCATCCACCACCATCTCCGCAAAGAAATTTGCATCACTGTGCTATAAGTTAAGGTATCATTACCTCTTTCACCTCAGTCATTTTAGCCAGTCCCACTGAGTTCCAATCAGTGTGAACTTAGTTCATTCAAAGTAATGCCTCTCAGAAGTAGGAAACACACCATACTTTAAAACAATCATGAATTAATTGAAAAACAGAAAAGGATACGCTCCAATCAACTTGCTGGACATGCTTGTCTTGGCAGCATTAATAAAGCACTCACGACCAAGGACATCAACATTAGCTGTCAAGTTTTCCTGGATATACTTCACTGCCTCTCTAGAAATATAACAGCACATTTGTTCAAGGTAAAAATGCTGCAAATCCTCAGACATCCTTGAACTCATGGAGAAAGACAAGATTGCATGCCAGAAAGGGAGGCAAGAAATCTGCATGTACTTATGAAGTAAAAGCATGTCAAAAAGTTCAATCATAGTGCAACTGAAGAGGAGATTGCAGCAGATAGTGTCAGTGACATGGATATTATTCCTGACAATGAATTTGAGCCTGAACCATGTGACATAAGCCTCGTTCAGGCACATGAAAAATCCAGCTTGCCTGGCATACTGGGAAGGATGGAAGTGTTCAGGCACAAAAATATACCAAGGGAATGGAAAGGTCTTAATCCTAGCCACAGTGCACAAATTCCCAGGAATGGGGAGGACTGTTCAGTCACAAAAAAATTTTAATTGATGAAGGAATCATGGCACTGCAAGGTCATCTGTCATTCAAGATATGTGCCAAATAAGCCCGATAGGTTTGAAGCAAAAGTCTTTCTGTGTGAGTCAAAGCCAATCAATGATTCAGTGTTTGATTTGTTTGGAGATAAATTATTGGATAAAGGTCACCACCTCTATCAGAATAATTACTATAATATTGTTGTGTTGAGTCCATAGATAGATCATATCTTCACAGGAGTTTCAAAAGACTTCCAGAAAAATTTTCAACTTGCTCAAGAAGAAGCAGATGATACATATATGAGGGTTGGTACGAAAGTAATGCCTGCAGACTATTTTTTTTATAACCTTTCAAGCAAAAATAATGAAATTCAGCTGGAAAATAGATCAAGCCCTTTTATATATATGGCTATTTTTCCATGTAGTTCCCATCACATTCAACAGACTTCCTAGTGCACAAGAAGGGCAATTATTCTGTCCCTGTAACAATCTGTAAAAATGGCGACTGCTGTGTGGCTTGTCTTTCAAGCCAATTTCTCCACTCTTGACCCTGTTTGCCCACCCTTTCACTATGCTCATATCAATGGTAGAGGTCTCATTAGCATCTTCCAGTCGCCTATGAATGTTTTCCCTCTGCAGTCAGTAATTCGATAGCAATCTGCTTTGTACACACATCAAGGGAAGCAGCCATTTTGAATGGGTGCCGTGGTTTTTCCAACTGATATCTTCCTGGAAAACTGAGGGAACAACAACAGCAAATATATATCTTTATCTAGGATTTTTTTGCCAGTCTCCCACGCCTGAGTCCAGAGAAAAAATTTAAGAGGCATTACTTTCATACTGACCCTCATACCACAAACTGGAAAGAAAAAACATGCACAGAGGAAGTGTAGTGAGCAAAATGGAAAATCAGGACAGAGACAAGTTTCAGGTGTCAGAGAAAAAATTTAAGAGGCATTACTTTCATACTGACCCTCATACCACAAACTGGAAAGAAAAAACATGCACAGAGGAAGTGTAGTGAGCAAAATGGAAAATCAGGACAGAGACTTCAAAGTCCACAGTCGTTATATTACAATGGAGGGACGTTCCACGGAACGAAGTATTAGTGTGAATCTTTAAAATAATATTTTAAGATCGTACTAAAGTCCATACTTAGTAATAATGATAATATGAGACAAGATTTTTCTTACTTGTTTATGGGAGAATATTTCAAGCTGATTGGTGGAAAATGTTTTCTGAATACATGTGCTTTCCGACAATCATAACAAAATTATCTGTCCAGAAAGTGTAGAAAATTGCCTTATAAATGCCAGAGAATATGTTAATATGGGGTTCCCCATAAGTAGTTATGCAGGAATCATTTTTCCCACTCCTGCCCATAGCTTGCTGGTAATTGTGATAATGGTGTGTGCAAATGACTCATGTATCATACAGTTCTACTGGTGTAATTTACACACATTCTCTTCCATTTTGTTGCCTCCACACCACAATTGCATCAGCCATGAACTCAGTAAGATCTGTGTGTAGGCAGCATCAAATTGCACAGTGATAACTTTAACTCACTTGCAAGCCAGTCGATAACCACTTATGACAGATGTCGGATGGATCTTCTGCTTCACCAATTCATCAGCATTCTTCAGCAATTCAGCAGCCAAAACCACCTAAGAAAATGATTAAATGAATTTTACTAAAGAGGAAATGAACCTCTACAACTCAGCAGGTAATCATGTCTGACCCAAGGAGCATGCATTAAAATATCAAAGATAAGCAATTCAGCAGCCAAAACCACCTAAGAAAATGATTAAATGAATTTTACTAAAGAGGAAATGAACTTCTACAACTCAGCAGGTAATCATGTCTGACCCAAGGAGCATGCATTAAAATATCAAAGATATCACAGAAAGAAAATTACTTGGTGGGGATAGTCCAGGGCAACCCATCAATTTATTGTCATGAAATGTAGAGCAGTAAGCTAAGGATTTAGTAGCTGCCAAAACACAAAGCTGTCATTTTAGCTGAATGGAGGTCAAAAGTATATTTAAATTGAAAAAATAAAAGTCAGAGTCACTGTGTAAAAGATACCATACTGTTTCACTTTCATGAGGGTTAGGGTGGGAGATGTGAAAATAGGGATGAAATGTCTAATGTACATGCATAATGTTCTCTTTCTGTAACAGCACCATNTGTCATGAAATGTAAAGCAGTAAGCTAAGGATTTAGTAGCTGCCAAAACACAAAGCTGTCATTTTAGCTGAATGGAGGTCAAAAGTATATTTAAATTGAAAAAATAAAAGTCAGAGTCACTGTGTAAAAGATACCATACTGTTTCACTTTCATGAGGGTTAGGGTGGGAGATGTGAAAATAGGGATGAAATGTCTAATGTACATGCATAATGTTCTCTTTCTGTAACAGCACCATCACGGCAAGGTGGTAACTCCAGAGAGAGTCTATAAACTATCTTACAACTTTTTCCTTTAAAAAAAAAAGGAAAAAAAAGTCATGTAACTAAGAGAAATCAGGAAGGGCCAGTATGAAGTTGAAAAGCAATATTGTGATATACAGATATACTTGGTATAGCTGATAGAACAAGATTGAAGGGTAATACAATAATTGGCACAACCCTAGTTTCAGCTTGCATTGAGCTACATGACCAAGCTTGATGAGATGAGAGACATGTCAGCCATTGGAGATAGGGCAAAAACAATGATTCCCCTATTTAACCTTTACAACTCTTTCCTTCCTGAAGAACTTGCATATTACTTAGAATGATACCCCAATACCATCCTTTTTTTTATTGCTGGACCAAGGTCATGATCAATTATTGAAAATAAATCAAAAGTTGAAAATGGATGGGGGACTCCAGCCCCTACAAATATTGAATATGCACCCAGAGCATTTAGGTTCTTGCTCCTTCAATACCCAGCATAGGTCTTTGTCCATTTTCAAGATACATCTTTCATAAATTGCTAATCATCTTACTTTGGGATTATAACTTAAATTCCCAAGTAAACAACCAGCCCATGCACAGTGCAAACTACATGAAAATAGCACCAGTATGAGCAGATATTTTTTCATTTAAAGATGGAGGTTTCTCTGCCATATCCAGAACATATGCCGAGGTTTATTCCTGTCCCATAGAAGAGAGACTCACCACAGAAGTTGTGCCATCACCAACTTCCTCATCTTGCAGCTGAGCCAATTCCACTAATACTTTGGCAGCAGGATGTTCCACTTCCAGCAGCTTCAAAATTGTAGCACCATCATTGGTGATGGTGACATCCTTCAAGGAATAAATGGATAGATTTGGAATACTTCAATATTCACACTATCAAGCCCTTGTATACCAATATGTTATGCCTAAGTTTGCAAGAGTCAATACCTCCTAATCTGGACTGAACAAGGTCATCTTACAATGTCAAACCCATTTGTCACACTCCAGTGGGAATGATTATATTGTGCTTCCATTTTAGCTTGTGGCAAAAACTTGAAGAGATATTCAGAATAACCTATCTGATTAGAGCTCAATCAACATACCAGCAACAGCTGACAAAACTGAATGACGCCATATAGGGGAATTAATTTGTTTCTGGATTCACAAAGAGATTTTTGCTGACCTTCAAAAATCTATTTTTAAATCAGTATGAATAAATTCTCTGCTAGAAATGACACTTCAATATCATGGAAACCACCAATATCTCCACATGAAATTCTAAGTGGGATTTAAAAAAATTGTCCTCATCATTAAGAATAGTCTCTAGAAAATGAAACTCACTCCAATGTCATCAACAAGCATTTTGTCCAAGCCAACAGGACCAAGTGAACTCTTCACAATGTTTGAGATTGCCACTGCTGCCATGACTGCAATGATACAAGACATGCATGCGTTTAGCAAATGAAAGAAACACAACTTTCCTTCAAATAAAAAAAAAGAGAAAGGCAATCAAAGACATGAAGGGAGGTCACATTGAGCAAATGCTGGTGGCCATATATATTTCTCTCCCCTGTAGTCCGATTAGTGTTCACATCAAATATTACAACTTAATTATGCACAGTTTGCATATTATTACTGTCTGAACACAGGAAGAAACTATATACGAACCCAGTGTACTCATGGGACTTTACAGGCCTTGCTTAAGTGGGAAATAATTTATTGCAGCATAAAGACATAAATGGAGGAATCTTGAAGATAAAATGCAACTATGGAGCATTTCTAGATAGGTCACTACCAGTGCTACTCTCACAGATCTTGGATGCCTAGAATTGAAGGATGATGCAATGAAGTCACTGACAATATATACATATTTCAATTTTTAACCAAGCCTCAACATGCATTCAATTCCTATTTATGGAATGGTTGTTTGTTGGGAGCTAGAGATAATGAAATGGAAGCAGCCACATCTTGTGATGTATTCCCAAGCATGAGGGGAAAAGGTGCTCATTATATACAACATGAAGGGATACCTCCCATTGGGAGATTTAGTGCTAAGTTTTAAGGTTTGCCTCCCTCACCAGCTCTTGGCATATTCTGTGTCCCATCTCTCAATTCCATATAGGACATCAGCAATTCCCATAGCATAAAAGACAATGACCAATTCCTCATTCATGTGACTGTGCAGAAGGATATAACTATCACCCCTTAAGCATCTTCAGTTCATTCAGTATTTTGGCAATCCCCATTAACTTTTATGCTGTGATTGAGATTCTTGTGAAGGAATATTATCAGACCAAAGATATTTATAGCAGAATTAAACCAAAAATCAACAAGTGACACAAAATTCCCATATTTTCCCTATGTCTGAAGAACATAAAAGGAGAAGGTTGGCTTCTCCCGTACTCATGGGCAGCTTGGCTCCTGGCTTCATGCTGACTGGACTGCTTTAGACCTTAGAGTAAAGAGGAGGAGATATATATATAAACATCTCTGGGCAATTATACTGACCATTTTGGGTTCTAACAGACTGTCCTGTCTGCCTACTCCCTTGGACAGTCAGCACACTCTGTACAGATGGCATTTTTTCTGAGTATTGATGAGTACTTCCTCAAAACTCAAATGGAGCTGATGCAGGAACACCTGAAACTAACAAGATCATTTTGAATTATTCAAAGAAAAGAATTATAAGATGACTCACAGTGTTATAGAAGGGTATGCCTTAAATACAGACTGCTTATTGCTAGGCCCAGCCTACTTCTTTAGCTAGAGTCCAAGCTAGGGATGAGTTATTGATTGATCAATGAAAGAACACAGAATAAGGGCCTCGCCTGTCATACATGGCTCAATTCCATCGGAGGCCTTCTTTCACCAGCCAGTTTAGTAATCTTTGGTTATTTAATTAAATGTGTATTATATAACATATAAAAACGATATATAGGACATAGAAATTTAAAGTAAAATAGCAAAAGAGCTCAAAAATGCAGAAAAATTATATTATTCCAAAAGTGGCCTTAATTCAGGTCTGAAAGGGTTAAGGGTTTTAGTAAGCAATAAATACTCCTGCCTCTGAATTACTATAGCATAAAGTGAGAGCAGGGATTTTCAAGAAAAACAGAAAACAGTGAGAGAAAGACAACAGTGAGAGATCCTATTGACAGAGCAATAAGCCCAGTAAACATATGGTACCATATACCATGAAATAAAAAATTTTTTATAATGAGTTAAATAGAACTAACCTTGGAAAGAAACACTTTGAATGCAAGAGGAATAAAATGTTCAATCTACTCCTAGAATATATTAAGAAAGAAAAATTAATTGGACTTCAAACGTGAACTCTTCTGCCACTAATTGGAAGCACTGGTACAACAGAAGTATAATTTGATGTAGGCAAAGTGAAATATTTTGCCAATTAGCCTTTTGTAAATAGTAATACTAGCCTTCAAACCCAGGTATCCCAAGGCAAGACAGTACTTGCTCTTAGGGAAGTATTTCTAAGAGGTCCAACAACTTTATTTCCTTTCTTTCCTTTCATTTTCTTTGTTGCCCTTTTCTTTTCAGGTGATGTTCTGGTTAATCCTGACTGTCTCCTCACATCCCCCTACAGTAAGCATATGGCTTTGGCTACTGTACGTCTTGTGAACACCATGTACACCCTGAGTTCGTTATGTGAACACCTACTATAAGCCTATGTGTACACCTTATGTAGGGCTATGTGACCACCTCTCATAGGCCTGTGAACACCTATCTTGTGTACCCCCTGTACACCCGACGTGAACACCTTTCCGTTCCTGCATACCCTACTACAGTGTTGTCGTGAGCGCAAATGACGTATGCCGAAATGCATGCGATAATTTTTATATGCAATGTCTCAATGGAATGGATGATACATTGATATTGGAAAGATGCCGAGGACAAGAAAAACAGTTGGTTATCATGATTTCGTAGTGGCGATATCACTGAGGGTATTGCTGCCGAAGTTCATTCAACATGTCCCAAAACGGCATTTTGGGGTGCAGGGTATGCCACCATGCCTCTGCCTCTCTTCAATTCTCTGTGTGTTGGCTCCAGTGTTGGGGTCCACAAAACTCTGTGAATGGTTCAGTTTCGTGGATGTAACCAAGTCTACCGAGACCTACATACACGGCCCACTCGTCTGAGCAGATGGTTGTCCCTGGGCGGATGTGGCGGCGTATAATTGGGAGGAGTGTCTTTCTGTTGCGACGGTCGACAATGAAAAGCCTGGTCTCCGACAAACCTCCGTGATGCCACACCATCCCAAATACCCAGGGACCAGTCACCTGATTCCCGTAGTTTACTCGGGCAGGCAGGAAGTTGTTCCCCGCCATCAGGCGACCTTTGTTGTTCGACCGCTAGGAGACAGCGACAGAGACCACTCTAATCCTGCATCGTGTCAATACATAATTATTTCCATGTCTACGCGTCTTCGCGTATCCCAACCGGAAACAGCTTTCATCAATTTGGACACTTCGTGGGAAATGGAAAGATGGCTTAATCAAGGTTGGAAAATATATTCTAGGCCTCCTCCACCCATGCTTTATACTTAATTAGTACATGGCTATAGTCACAAGGCAAAGACTGGGCTTAAAAGATGGGTGTACAAGGGTCTCTTTGGAATTAGAGATGGGCAGAAATTGAAATTTCCCACTTTGCACTAGCCCTATCATTAACGTTAGGTTATATGATCCCCGGAATCAGACGACATTAGCTAACAAATACCAGTGCCTCTTGAAGGGATTGAGGCCTAACGTTAGGCAGCGGTTGGGCAAGTACTTTCCGTCGAGTTCGATGCCGAACTCATATGAATGACCAAATAAAAACATTTGCATCATCAATCCCGTAGTGGTGTTACTGCGACATTTTTCACTCGACTTCGGCACTCCTGCAATAGGAACGTTCCAAGTACGAGTGTTCAAGGCAAGTGAAAAATTGCCCGACTCAAGAGAAAAACATTGCACGAGAGCCGGTCGAGGAACCGGGCAAGGCCCGAGACACATGCATAAGAGGGCCATATATCTGAACCATCACCATTTGNAAGACTGGGCTTAAAAGATGGGTGTACAAGGGTCTCTTTGGAATTAGAGATGGGCAGAAATTGAAATTTCCCACTTTGCACTAGCCCTATCATTAACGTTAGGTTATATGATCCCCGGAATCAGACGACATTAGCTAACAAATGCCAGTGGGAGAACTTCCCTAACTCCGGATTGCAATCCGTCGCCAACCCGTTCATGAAAGGCAGCTCAAGCTACGGCTTGAGTATACTTACTGGTTTATTTTTGTAAACGTAGTAGTTAGGGCATCACCACAATCTGCGACATTTTTCACTCGACTTCGGCACTCCTGCAATAGGAACGTTCCAAGTACGAGTGTTCAAGGCAAGTGAAAAATTGCCCGACTCAAGAGAAAAACATTGCACGAGAGCCGGTCGAGGAACCGGGCAAGGCCCGAGACACATGCATAAGAGGGCCATATATCTGAACCATCACCATTTGAAAAATTAGTGTTGATTTAAGAGCGGCATGGCTTGCAGAAAATCTTAGTTCAAAGGAAAAGAACTCTATCATAATAACCAAAATAATCAGCGATTGTAGCACGAAAATCAGTGGTAACAGGTGCAACAGCGGTCACACCCAGTAGTCAGCCATGATCGTCCCATCAGGAAGTCGACATGGTTGCAAACTTCAATCTCTTTTCATTCACGAAGTTCTCGAACAAATTGTGCCAATAGCCATAAAATTTTTAGAAATCTCTGCTGATACAGTACACTGTTTCCGGACTGAATTCGCACCCCACCTCCGAAGTGGAGAATGAAGAAAAATAACCTCCACAGGAACTGCTTCATAAGATTATGTTCGTAGTCATTTCTGAAGATTTTAATATAGATTTTTAAAATAATAAATTTTTTTAAATCTTGCACTGTCACAAAATTATTAGATCTCATAACCTCCTTTGATCTCCAGTGCAGCTTCTCGCAATCAACTCGAAGGATCTCAGGAACACTGATAACGTGCTGCTATCTATGATACTTGGAAAGCACCATACTTCACACTGATGAAACAGATCAGAGCGCACTACTGGTATCCTTTCCGCTCAATGGCCAAAGTCAGGAAGGACACACTATACCCTATAAATATCTCAAGGTCAATGAGACCACTACAAAACAATTTATCGATGCCCTCACCTTCTGTAATTGAACCCCTGTTTATGCCCAAGTCACAGTAGATTCCACATATACTGTCTTCCAAAACATTTTCCCGACAGCCATGAGGAAAGTGTTTCCCAACAAAGATTGCCCAATATAAGAACTCTATTTAATCCAAATTCTGCATAACTACCGGCATCAGAGTGTCGGCAAGATACAAACGTAACCTATTCCATTTCCTGAAAATCCGTTCTTGAAACACACTTCCATCAGAATTACAAAAGGTATTCTGAAATTCTAAAACAGGTAGTACAGCTTGCAAAGCAAAAATTCTATTCAGGAGACATAGCTGAAGTTGTATCCTCTAAGCACACAAGGAATCTTTGGAGGAAGTTGCAGCAATATCTTCGCAAAACGGAAAATTCTATCACCTGTCTTTAAGAAGGCAACGACCCAAATACAGAAGACTTGGAGGTTGTAATTGTATTTCATGCCCTAAAATACTGCATATGCATCAGCATAAACTCACAGGAAAGCTCCCCTTAAACCTGGACATCCAAAAACATGGCTTTCGCCATAGAACTGATGCATATACAGTATTCCAAGAATTTCCTCTCAAAAACAAATTGGGGCTTGAGCAATTATTTAAGCCTACCAGTCAGCCTAAGCTCTCTAGAAGACCTTTCATTCAGCCAATTTCTCAAGTCTTGCCTTCTCTCCAACCCAACGTACAGCTTTATGGAATTCCACTACATTAAATTGTAACTACCCCCCCCCCCCCTTAGCTACACTTAAGCCATATTGTACCAAAATAGACCCTTGTAACCCCGTATAACATAAACCAGCGGCTCCCAAACTGTGGGTCGCGAGAGGCATCAATGTACCCACCTTGCGTAAATTTTCCCAGCATAAAAAATCACTGTATCCGCATCCGCTCAGGACAAAACTTGCCCTGCAGAAAATGTCGATCAGCTTTTTTCACGTCATAATTACTTTGAAAATGCCTCGTTCTGGATTCCGGCGGGTCACGAAATTTGTTGTACGTCAGCAAGTGGGTCGCGATTCACATAAGTCTGGGAACCGCTGACACAAACCATTTGCTTTTCTACCCCAACATATTTTGCTTCTAAAGTGCCTTAATGGCTTGAAGCTTGTCAATGTAAATTTAAAGAGAATGAATTGAATTGAAACCACCCATGTGGATGATGTCATTGCCTGCCATGGATGGAAGCGCCCCAATGGGCAAGGGGGGGGGGGGTGCGACTGTTTCCTTGGCGTCGGCGTAGTTTTACGTCGAAATCCTCGAAGTGTTCGGATATCCCGGCCAGGGAAAGGGTTAGCATCACAACCCATTCATTCCGACCGTATAATCCTGGCATTACGTCTTTTTCGGTAGTTCATTAATCTGATGTCCCTCACTTATGAAATCCTTGAAAAGGCCGTCACATGGTAGCGTAACCAGCCCAAAGGTTTTTGCTGGAAGTGAGGGTTTGAAGAAAGTTCTTACTACTTTTCTTTCGTTTGTTTCCGAATACAAGAGGACTTTATCAAATCATCAGAAGGGATATGATACAGCACAAACCTAAAGCGAAGCGGAACAAGTGCCAATTCGTCCAGGGCATCATTTGTTCACATATGTACAGAGTGCCCGATAATTCATTTTGTCATTTCAGAAACTAATATTTTCCAAATTACTGAAAACAGGTACAAGTAGTTAGCATCAATAGATGTAAAGTGTACCAAGGAGAACGGAGATGCTCAAGTAAGGAAGGCCAAGAATCATAACTTGATGGAAGAAAATAAAAGATGAAAGCGTCCTTCTTTCTACGGTACCATCGTACAGAGATACTGGAACAGGAAGGAAGCGTTTTGACAGGCAGAAAATTCTCAAACCATTTGAATGTAAAGCAGAAATGCTCAAGAAGGCGGAAAGGACACGAATCATGACTTTTTGCTGGAAGATACTAGTTAGTATCGCGAAACAAAGGTGGAACGTGGAAGGTAGCGAAGGATGAGTAGCAAATTAACCCGGAAGCAGTGCAGATTGACCCAGAGTTGGCCCAGAGCTAAGTCGAATGGTCAAAGCGCAGCTAGTCCAACAGCTATCGATAGGCATGACCGTGGTAGTAAGATGGGTCAACTTCCGTTGGGCATAAAAGTAGGAAGGACAACTCAAAACAGAGTAAACTCTACACCAACAGCCTCCCTGGATCAAGCCCTTTAAGATTATGTGTGCTACTCGACCTGCTCCGTATTTCCGGATTTGGCGAGGAGTGAGATTACCTCCAAAATTATTAGTATTATTATTTATTTTATTTATTTATTTTTTGGGGGGTACCCCAAACCATGTGAACTAAGTCTACTAACAATTTTGTGCTTTGCTTCGTTTTACCTCTTTTGACTTAACATTTTCGTTAACTATTTCGTGTAAGCTAAAAACTTTTATTTCTTTTTGATTTCTTTTAGGAAATTAAATTCGGAACGCAGCCCAGACTTCTCTGCAAGCAACTAGAAATTCGGTAAGGTGTATGTAATTCACGCCCTTCATCCGAGTCGTCGTCCTTCAATTCCCCGAAAAATCCCAACAGCGTCACATTTTCACTTTACTCAACCGAGTATGAACATGTGATTGACCTGACCTTCATCTTAAACCTCCCTGAACTCTTCCCACTTTCTAACTTCGCTCTGGTCTTTTCCTCATAATACCTATAGTATATGTTAGTGTTCCCCCCTCCACCCCTGGGAAGAGGGAATAGGGGGAGCAGAACGATGCTATCTTGAGCAGGGGTTTAGGGATAGCTCAAACCTGAACCCCCACCCTATCTTGGTTGCGCCATTGCCTCCAATGAAAACTTGGAGGATTAGTGACGGATCCAGATCAAATTTATTATCACTTTATTCCATGGTCTAGATGTAGAAGTCATGCGACTCCTATTCTACAGCTTCCGGAGAAAAGTGTTCAGAGACTCGAACAGCTATCAGATTTTGCTCCGATTGCATTGAGCTGGACGCTAGCCTTCATTCTCTATACTTGAATTTACGTTTCGCGAATACAGAGCTCAGATTGGTACGACATTGTCTTTTCCAGTATTTATTTGTCATAGCCTTTCCACGGTCGGCTTTCTATCTTCCGCTGCTGGCTTCGAGGCATTGTCCCAAGTTATCCCTAAGAACGCCGTGTTCAGAAAAAAAAACATTAAAAAGACTACAAATAACAGGACAGTAGAACTTTTTCCCTCGCTCATTAATACTTGTATCTAACTTAATTTCTTCCAAGAGATCTATAATGGTCCGATAAATAAAAAATAACCCTGCATCTAACTTCGCGATAAATAGACTAGACTTATTCAAGGATATGCATGTGAAAACCTCTCTTTGGGGGGCACTCCACATCGAAATAACAATCCAATATCTCGAATCGAGATAATGGATTATTTTATATCTTACATGGGCTTAACCAATTTTGTACCTCTTGACCTTTAACCCCTTCAATTAGGTCAGTATGTGACAATTTTCAAAACCCGTTATTGAATTCTGTTAGTACTCGTCACAAGCTTTCCAACGATATATAATATGTCCTGATTAATGAGGTTAGTGTGGAAATGTATGATACTTTCGATTCAAGAAATTGGGTTGTCATTTTGATGTAGAGGGCCCCATTTAGTCAACCACAGTTCCAGATAGGTTAGTATTTAATTCATCACCAAATAATATCGATTCTGTCACAAAGAAGTAACAATTCACCACCAGATTTTATTATTTCGTCTCTCAATGAATTTCTAATTCACCAAATTATTACTATCACCAAATGACTTCATTCCTAGATCTAATGAATCTTACACCAAATTCTCCCTCAGTATTTTTCATCAGATGCCATGAAATGGCCACCAAATTTTATTGAATTCGCACCAAACCATTGTCACATTTCATGCATAAAAAAAAATTGTATTTTTGTGGGCCAGCAGGGCAGAGGACACGGACTATCCCAGCTGTGAATTACCATTCTGAGTGAATGTTTGTCAGTTCTGATTCAAACAGGGCATGTGCATTCAAAATTTGAAGGTCTCACAATTCAGTGGAAGAGTCTTGTTCTCTTTAAGTTTTCCTAATGCTCCAGTTTTCTGATTAGATACTCTTGTGCACTTTCCTAACCTCTTCCCTTGTGAGGTTACTGTCACTGCAGGCAATGAAGGTGTCTCCTTGTTTCAATGTCCTCAAACTCTCGTTGCCATAGCACCTCAAATACATAGAACACATAGAAACTGGAAGTCAGCACTGTACATAACTCCCATACATGTACGCAAGCGCAAGGAGACTAGTTACACAGGTCCTCCCCCAAAGGTCCCCCAAAGCATATGATCTTACAATCTCATCTTGCCAACACAGGTCTAACCAGAAATAAAGAAAAATCCTTTCCTTGATAGGGTTGCAAATGCTGAAAATGTCATAAGTTTGATGATGAGAGCAATTTTTTAGTGCAGGATAATGCAAATTTGGTGATACCAGCACCTGTGATGGTGCAATCATATTTGGTGAAATCAAAAATAAAAATTTGGTAACTGACTCCAATTTGGTGAAGATTTATTGTGATCTGGTGATGGAGTCAATATTTTTGCAGGCTGAAAATATTTGGTGACAAGTACATTATTATTTGGTGGGTGATTAAATATCTTTTGTTTCAGATATTGATATATTGAATTTTAGTGATATTCAATTTGGAAGATCCCAGACATTGCCAATTTATGGTCTCCTGATGTATCCTAGGTGCAGCCAGGATGTCTGCTTTGAAAGGGCGAAGTCTCAGCTACCTGGAAATGCACTGTCTTAGAAGGCACAAATATTATAACATGAACATAATATTAAAATTGTCACAATACTGACACTTTTCTGCATCAGAGTGCAAGAAATTCCCAAAAAAATATTTAAAGAAAATTTACTAATTATGAAAGCTGTCATAACTCAATCTAGCTGATACAGGAGGCTTTATCATGCACTTCCCAAATTTATTGAACAATGCCAAAATGTGGATATGGCAAGGATTTTCAGAGTCTAATTAGTTGATTACTGTTGCCTCCAAGTGCAAGACTGATGCCAAACATACTCAAAAGATACAACTGGATATTGTGTCAGACTGATCCTAGGACAGAAAAATATAATAGGAAAACCTGAAAATAGAGATCAGCTTCTAAAAAAAATCGGAAATAAAAGTAAATTTAAAAAAAGCACAACTGTTGACAATTTTTGACAAGGAAAATCAAAAAGCAGTCAAAAGAGATGAAGCTCATGGCATATGGACACATCCATGATCACTTCAACAAGACTGCAAGCTTGTTCATGTTTGACTAGCAACATAACCAAAGACAAGCAAAAACCTCTTTCTGTTTCCTTTTTAGGTTTGTCCAGATAAAGAAATAGAAATACCACAATGAAGAGGATACAAAGTGCAATACATCGAGTTTCCATTTCTAAAAAGAGCAGGGAAATGATTGTCCATTTGCACTCAGCTTGATCACAGCATGAAGATTCACTCAGAAGTCACCTTGAGCGATGTAACGTCTATAAACAACACTGATATAGATGGCAAAAAGGAAGGCAACAAAGATATCATCAACAATGCCCAAAAGACCAAACACAGATTCAGGGATGACATCCAGAGGAGAGATCAGGTAGAAAACTGCACCAACTGTGCACATGACAAGACGAAGCCTGAACATTTGCATCAAACCTCCAACTGTGAACATCCGGCTCCACATATGGCGTAATAGCACTGGAGCATCGTAGATGTAATCCAGCCACTGGAATAAATAAAAAAACAGCATAATTCCATATTGCTAAAAAACCCATGACACACTTGACAATTCCTATCTGTGGAATGGGGAAGTGTGTGTAATATTAGATTAATTCTGACAAGCAAATGCCAGCCATTTACCCTCCCTATCCTGTTAGCTATATAGTAGGAAATTTCAATTCTTAGACAACCTCTGCACAGGTATCAAAATTGCAACTGGCAAAATTGCTGCCTACATCTTGAAGGCAATAATAGCACAATAGCTACATGATTGTTGCCTGCAGGCATTGCCCTTCATACTCCATTGAATTTTTTCCATCAATTGGCATTCCTCATGCTATGGTTCAAATTCCTGAAGCTTATCTTTCATATGAACTAATAGATGTCTCTAGTCTCTAGGAGCATTTGCTTCTCAAATGCCTCACATAACAACTTGAGCTAGATTTGCATGTAACTGAGATGCTTCCCTAAAGACATGCTGCCTGGAGTTATTTCTTAACTTAGGGCCGAATCCCTTTTAATCTCTTTCTTGTTGGTCAGTGATGACATCCCAGCTCTCAATTGATACCTTTGAGGCCTTGATCAAAGGTTATAGAAACAATGCATTCATATGGAATAATTATAACATGGGAAAATCATGGACCACAAAGGGTTAAGCATTACTATGGAATGGAGTGGAAGCAAAACACATGTTCTTGTAGCCATGCAATGTTTCACTTAATAACAGACAGTTTCCATTGTGCATTGGTGACTGGTGACATGAATAAAAAAGTGCAGTAACTGTGTTGAAAAATGTAAATGCAGTTTACCCTGGGATTCAGAGGCCAGCATGTAGTATGGTGAGGTATATAATTTAGTTATCCTGGGATTGAACCAAGCAACCTTTCCATAACAGTGATGTACTCAGATCACCTAGTTATTTTCAGAATCTTTGTGCTGTTCAGAAAATCATGAACCAAGATTCATAAAATTTTGCATAATGGCTTTAAAAACGATAAATGGAAAATCATCCTAAAATCAAGCAGATTTTGTATGAAGATCAATGCCTGGATTTTTATAATGTGTAGTTGACACAAGAGTTCAGCCACTGTGACAGGCAGAGAAGCTTGGCCTTTGCCTTATGGTTTCTATTTATAAATGATCATTCAATGACTGAATCTCCTACAATGAAAACTTTAATGAAAAGGCTCACTGCAGTGTGGTGTTTCATGTGGGCCTCAGGGATTTAAATTAGAACTTGCTTCTTGGAGGATGAAAGAGAATTATGACTTTTACTCATCAGAAGCACAAAACCACTAAGGACAGTTATTGACTGAATCTGAACCTCAGCCTCCATCAAGGCAAATGCCCTTCCAGACACAGCTAGAGTAACCCTGAACCTTTTCAAAGATGCCTTTCAATGCTGAGTCTTCTTCCTTTAAGGTTCTCAAGAATAGCCCTCACATTCACTTGATATGTCTTCTCTGTATGATTTTCTTACAGGGGGGATCTGTAGGAATGGGTACACAGTCCTAGGTCATGGAATTTATGGTAAATTATCCAGAGTGAAATTCCAGATTAGTTCTCTAAAAAAGCTCATATAAAGCAGAGGGATAATTTCTCCATTGTCAAATATCTCCCATGATGGGGAAATAAACCTGAAAGCATTCTCTATTTAAAGCTGTTTTCTGATTAATACTTCTCTTCATTTCAATAATTTAAAAATGTACCCAACTGAAGACCTGTTTTCTTTTTTCTTCCATGTTTCCAGAAGCTTCCTTTGGTGGCATGAAGTACTCTTATAATAAGATAGAATTATTTGCATCTTGAGAGAAGGGGGGGAACTTCTTGCTTCTTGATTGACTCTTCTTAACAAGTACTTGGCAGTAGTTCAATTTCCAATCTTATGATTAATTAATTTTGTTTGGAAGTATATGAATTAGATTCTGGGAAGTACTAGTTATGGAGTTCTAGCCAAGTGTACAGACTCTCTCAAGTAAAAAATTCACAATGATGCCAGGTCATTTCACCAGTAAATAATGTTAGCAAATAAATTAAAGGAAATGCATACTGGTCTAGGTGCTCCAGAAAACCTCCTATTATAATCACACAATGTTCTTCTCATTTGTCTTGCATCAGAGAATGGTTCTTCAGCTCTTCCTGCTCCAGATTCATTGCTCTCCTCATGCAAACTACCTGCTTGAGCTCTTTCTGGCACAGACACAGCAGGATCTGTGGCAGAGCTATCACCAGATGATGAAAAGGTGGTCCAGTCCCCAAGTGGCAGCAAAATGTTTACCTGAATATGAAAGGGGTAGGACTCAATGTGGGACAAAAATTCATTTTCATGAGGCCTATGGCATCCAAATGTAAAAAAAATTATTATTTTGGGTAGGTATTATGATTGGGTATTGTTACTTAACCCAGATTAAGATATGTGTCTAGTCTACCATCCCTCTCAGCATACATTCATTCTTCCTGTCAATTCCTCCAATTAATAGCTTCCCCTTCTACTGTCCAAATGTCAGTGTTGTCATGTATGTTGTCCTCCCTCATGTATGAGAAAATTTATTGTGCTTTGCTGTCATTTTCTGGAAAAAACCTGCAAAGCTGCTTTTGCTGAAAATAAACAAGGCACCTAAGACAATATGAGTTGACATTGCTATTACTATAAATATTTTTAGTTTGGCAACAAAAGGAAAGCAAATGGAAAATGTAACACCTTTAACCAGTTACTTCTTATGAAAATTGCATTTTAATTTACATGGTTACATTTCAACTTCATGGTTATGTTTCTGATAGATAGCACCACTAAACTAAGTTCAGTGAGGTTCATTTGAAATACATGGATATAAAGACAGGTGGAGGCTTGTTATAAGAACAAAATGAAATAGTCCCTAAATAAAAAAATAAAAAAATACATACTGAGAAGGAAAACACAATAGAGGACTCTGTACCAGCATTCAGAACAGTCAGCTGCAATCCACCTATTTTGTTACTTCATGCAACATTTTGGAGAAAATGAACTAATCTGGATATACAGGAAATTTGAATATGTCTGATCTTCAAAACTTCATAACTCTGAGCCAAAGCATTAGGCTAAGTTATTTTTAGAAAGTTGTTAGCATAAACTTTATTTGGAGAGGAAACAACATCCACACATATTGCTTTAAGTACCAGAGTTTATTATCAGTGGAAGCTCCTTTTTCAACATTTTATCTTAAATCCTTTCTAGTCCTTGAGAGATTGTTCAACCTATCCTGAAGAGACAAATTGAGGGTGGGAGGAAGGCATGTTAGAATGTTGTTGATTTTTTAATCATGAACATTTTAAGGCAAACCACACAAGACAGTTTTCCAATGGAGACATCATATTTCATAAATTTATTTTTGTTGCAATAAAATATAGAGACAGAGAGTTGAAACTTGGTGCACATTGGATTGTTGAATACTAGAAAAATCCTACTTTTTAACTGTAATGTGTCCATTTTGGCCAAAAGGTAGCCATTTTCACAGACTATTTTCATTTCTGGTATGACAGAAAAAGAGAATTTGCTTTTAAGAGAAAAAATATTGAATTTCTTTAATCTCCTTTGCAAAATGAGACCAGAATCAAAGTGCTATCTACATAACTTTTCCAGATATGAGATGACAATGGCATCTAACTTCATGAGTTAGATGCCATTGTAATATCCTAAGGTTTAGGCTCCCAAAGTTTAGGGAAAACAGTCAGAGTGAAGTTAATATATTTTACTTCAAACTTACTGATACCAGATGATCTGGCTGTACTTACAGTACTTCTTATTGATGGCCCATTATTAACAAATTTCCTATGAATTTCATCAACAATTTATCATGAGTGTCAGATATTTTTTCTCTTGACTTTAACACTCATGCATAAGGTATGTCCCATGCACAAGTGTCTGAGTCAAGAGAAAAGTTGTCTGACTCAAGTGAAAAACACTGTAAAACCAAGACAGAAACAGAATAAAAAGGAATTTACCATTTGCCGACACACAGGACATTGAGTGGGCTGCAGAATGCTCCTACTGGTCCAACAGTGAAGGATGCATTGAGCTAAAATATAGCAATAAGAGGAAATATGAAAATTTCAGATGATAAATGAATTATCATTGAACATGAGTACATTGAAATAAATCTTATCAAAAGGAACCAAATATAGATTATGCATCTAGCCAATGTGATGTAATTCTCAACACATGTTGATTCAATGAAGTTAACACCTGAAATCTAAAGACTGCTCATTTAGTTTTATGATGTCCAGTAAATTTGATATGTCTCACCTTGCTAATTTCATAGAAAACCTTAGGGCCATTAACCCCTGGTGTACCTAGGCCTGGGCCATAAAAGTAATTCTTGCACCTATTCCTACCTACCACAGAAAGCATGTCCACAATTAGTTTGAGTGGGGTATCTGAAGTCATTGAGGCAGACAGCACATGTATCTGTGCTACCATACTGCATGCCAGGCTGTGCTTGCAGAAGTGTTTCTGATGTGATTGAATGCCCTGGACCAACACCATCTCTTGACTGATGCAATCCAACCTCTGACCTTGACGTTAACCTCCTCCTGCTTGAAAAAAAGTGTATTAAATAAAAATCCATCAAAGGAACATAATCATGAACTTGGAAGTAGAACTTATTTCATAGAATTGCCTAAGCAAAATGAAATGGTGCCATTTACTTGGCTTTAGTGAGGGAGATATTGAGTTCATGCATGTGCTACCTGTAATAAAGCATGATACTGCAAGTGCCCAACCCCATCCCAAAGCAGAAGAACATAGTATGTCCATCTTTCACCTTTAACCCTTTTGGTGCTGAGTATTTAACCATTCCTTCCTTGGATTAATTCAGAAAGAAAAACAGTTTTTGTTTCTATCTGTCTTGTGAGTTGTCAGTAAAAATGAAGACACTCCTACATGAGTAAGCCAAGTATTCTGTGTGGTATTGATTCTGATGCTACAAAGTATGACAGTAGTACTATTCTACAATGTGTTGAATACTACAATGAGAACTGGCATAAAAAGTGGTATTTCTGACATCAAGATAGAGAAATCATTCAAGCAGTCCTGAAACTCCATCCTCCTTGTGTGCAGAAAGGTTTGTTTTATGACTCCACTTTGAGCTACATGACATGAGTGACAAAATACCCTCTATGTACCAGCAGTATGAGGACTTCAATTTTCACATAATTTCAAGCAAGCAATAAGTTCTTGCATAGTTAAGGAAGCATCCAGTCAGATTTACTTTTGGAATCAGTAGGCCCCTCTGCAGAAGTTTAAAATTATGAGGCATTTCCAACTCAGCTTACCAGGAGATTCTTCAAGATGATTGAAACGACAAGGAGTGATGCCTAAAAATGAATGTGTGAATTAGCATCAAAATTAAGCACAAGATTTATCCAAGACTTACCAATATCACACAACCAGTATAGACCTATGCAATATATAAGAGGGAATGAAGATCTTCCATATAAAGTGAGACTCTGCCGAGTCTGATAACATGAGAACTCAAATACAGTTTGGCTTGTACTTTATTAACTATGCTCCTCTAACAACAACAATAAATCACCATCAACTAGGATGCCCAAGACCATGGCAAAGCCACTTCATCTAAAGCAATCTACGCACATTACGGAATCTAGGGTAAGACTACCAGTCCATCTGATGGACCTATAGCCTCAGTGTATAACTAACTGCAAAGTCCTAAAATTAGGTAAAGCCTACCTTCCCCTCTCACCTGAAATAAATAAGGGCCAAGATTCCAAACGTTAAAAGCGTAATTATGAGCGTCCACAGGACCTCTTCTCCAAATCCTTCAACTTGAGGCAAATGCAAACGCCTGGAAGACTCAGAACTAGGTGATGCATCAGCCATTGGCGGCTGTGACGCAGAAACTGAGGGTGTAGACGATTCCGGATTCGGTGAATCCATACCAAAAATACTACTCAATGAAAACCACTGATCGACGCCCATGGCCGTTGAAGAATATGTACTCCAGCCTATATTAGGCCAAGGTTACTGAGAACACTCTCGGTCATGTGAATGAGCCCCACGTGGCCCAAGAGAGACGACATGTTCAGGGTATTCGAATGTCTGCCGTAGAGGTTACAGTGATTTCCGATTGATTGCATCACTCCTCCCACCCCCTTCTTACTGTGTGGAAGTAGGAAATACTTAACTTTCACCTCAGCCACTGATTCAACCAGGTTCAGTTATTTTGCGAAGACAGATGTCGCTCAAGTTGTATTGAAAATCGAAAATGCTACTGTAGGATGAACAATGTCTGCAAATGGATTACTAGATCTGTAGACCTTTGTCACATATTCAGAGTGGGGCAAAAGTTACTATGCAGTTGCTGAATGTAGAACATAACGAAATTCCTACCTTCATATTGACCGTTATTTACAAGAAAAGCACAAATAACACGAAAAATGATCGTGCAATGTAATTTCAAAAGCTACTAGCTTCATCCAGTAATATTACTCTTAAAAAAAAAAGATAATCAAATTAGCAAAACAGCTATTTTCAGGATACAAGATCTGTATAGTAACTTTTGCCCCACCCTGTATATCTCAGAGACGCCTGAAAAGGTGTCTACCCCAACTGAAAAAACCTGCAGAGGGAAAAGACTCAATCCGCTCATTTGTTGCCAAGTGTGATGCCATGGAGCCATTTGGTGGGGTGCTTTACGGCCCATCGGCGCCAGTGACACTGAAGTATCAGGATGAACAGACTGTCCCTTTTCCTCGTTGGACTATGGAAAGGTCAGCGGCGGCTTGTGATATTTAGCGTTAGTGGTTCATATATGGAGCCCCTCTCCGAAGGCAGTGCCCTCCCATGCCTACGCCTCTCCATCGACAAACCACTAGCGCTAAATATCACGAGCCGCCATTGGGAGAGGCACTCCAAAGCAAAACGGATCCATGGAATCACAAGACTGCTATGTCAGTTTCCCATCATTTCCGAATTTCATCATTTCAGCATTTCTAATATTGTTTTTTGCATAAGAGAATTTGTAATTCATCCACGGATTAAAATCAAATCTTTAAACCTATGCCAGGCCCTGCACCCTCCTTTTCATGGCTCCTCGAATCTATTTTTTTGCTTATATTTCTCAGCTGACGCCTTTGTAGTCTTCAACGACCATCCATTCCGTCCCATCGTGATGAAGTAAGGCGAACTGTTAAAATATTAAAATATAAATTTAAAAAAAATGAAATAAAGCAAGGTTTTCCATAGAAATTGGTTGCATAGGGGCCCCCACCGTTTGCTGGAGTTTTGTTAGAGCTGGACAGGAATAGCACCACCCACGTCAAGAATAAGGGCAGGGTGTAGATGTTCTTAAATATATATATTTTTTTATTATAAAAGGGACTCACTATCTTATCTAATCTTATAATGAGACTGGAGGAGTAACCGCTTCCGCCTCGTTCTGGAAAAAAAAAATAGCTACCAAGACCTCGGGCCGAAAGGGTGGCCGTCTGTAAAGCAGGTCACGAAAAAAAAAACTTGCTTTAAGGGAAATCCTGCATGAAACCATGGCCTGTAAATGGACTGGTCATACGACTCCATGTCCTATTCCACGGAGTTCCGTTAGAGACTGTTTTAGCCACCGGTTTGCGTGCATGCGACTACTGGGGGCTTCACCTCGTATCATAGTAGGCGTGCTTGGTTCGCTTGTGACTGAAAATGGGACAAACGTGATTCGTTATCGACTGCAAACTGGCTATGAACATTCACAGCGGTCTGTAGTAGGGGCGCAGTCAGGGCATGGATACCCCAGGAGGAGGTGTCCATGGGTTCCGAACACTTCATGAATGGAGCAAGATTTTGTGAAACAATTCGCAAAGTAAAATATCTCACTGCACACCGACTTCCCGGAGGGATGAGAGGACTGTTTCCCGACAGAGACGACAGGACACGGGAAGACACTTGCAAAGACCACTTGCCACCAGTCCAGCCTCTTTCGTGTATGCCCAGAAAACTCCTTCTGCACGCACATGCTTTCTTCCACGTTTAAAGTTTATAATTGCCTTTACCATTGAACATTTTAAAACGGAACAATTATTGTCTAAGATCTTTCTAAGAAATATGTATTTGCTACTTTCATCGTACATTTTATAGTTTATGAAAATTTCAGGAACAGCAAATCCTTCAAAAAATGTTTACTTGTGAATGGTTCTGGCTTCACCAGAAAATGCACTTGAATGAAACTTATGTGCCGGGTTACGATACGAGAACTAACTATGCCAAATCTCATCACCCAATGCAAAAAATAAATAAATAAATAAACAAGATTTGAATGTGCTCTATGCAAAAAAAAATAAAGCATCCCTTGTTCTCAGCTTTCATCATGAATACTTCACTCTTCCTGGCAGTACATACTCGTATTTGAAAGGTGGCAACAAGTGCGGGGCAAAGAGTCATCAAACAAGGACAGAGATGAAGAACTGGTATCACAATATCCCAAGACACCCCGTTGCGAGGATTTTTTACTATTGCTCAATGGACAGGTTGAAGGAATCCGGTGAAAAGATCTTAATCTATGTAGCCGATGGTGAGAGAAAGAAGAAAAAAAGACTGATCCGGGAAGTGAATTCATAATCATGACCATGACATGGGCGTGACCCATGTCATGGCCATGCCTTCGCTCCACTGGGCACACTAGCGCTTCTAGTGGGGGAACTCGTCCCTCATCACTTTTCAGAGGGGAATCGTATTCTAGACCATGGAAGTCCGTTAAGATGGAGTCGTATACCCCTAGTAATACGGTTCAGGGACGCTAGAGGTCCTTGTAGACATCTAGTGTTAGTGTTAGAAAAATATAAGCTGATGAGTTGAGGAGTGAGAGCGACAGGGTCATTTATCCTCAAAGGGTGAGGGTCCGAGGCCTTCATAGCATCCGCTGTCAGCCCCACATCTATATACATGGCTCGATATGAACCCCATCTTTTTTTTTTCTCTCTCTCTCTCTCTTTACCCCGACCTCTTTTCCCCTTTTTCTGGGCCCCTGTCTTCCGGAAAAATATTTACACATTGCCCTGTGATATATCACTTTAATCCTTTCTGACTGGATAGCCCAGTGGAGTAGGAAAAAGAAAGAGATGAAACCCCTCTTTCCTTCCTTTTTTTTTATTCTTCAGGGGTGAATCAATTATGACCTCTCTTTCCCACGACTGGGCCCTTTTCTTTTATCGGGATGTAGGACATTAGACAAGTTTCACTGTTGTAGAAAAGAAATTGGGCATTTTCTCGAAATGTATACACTAATTTATGCAGGTACAGTGTGTTCCATTTAAAACGCAACTCAACAAAATCACGTACTACGGTATAAAAATGTATTGTCTTCGAGAAGGTGGTGGACATTTTCAGCATCTGCTGTGAAGCTGTTCTGTACATTCCTGTAATATTCTTCCTAACAAATAAAAACTATCAAACAACTCGTTTGTCTTGTTTTACTGCTGTTGTACTTTGGGTTGCGTTATAAATGGAACACCCTCTATATTACGAATTTACATGCCATATATGTTTAGATTTTTGTCTCAAACTTTTAGCAAGCAGCATGACGATGCATAGAATATAATATTCACTGTGACTCAATCCGAATTGACGATTAATGTGTCGACGAGGAAACCACATCAAAGGTATCATGGAAAGGACAGTTATGGTCGGTATGCAGTCGGTAGACTGGCCAGGACTCAAAGGGTAATGGCGTCCCTCACGAGTGTCATCCCAGACGATGATAAATGGGAGCGATGCCGGTGGCCGAGGGAAATGTCCTGCGTCCCTCTCTACGGGAAGAAAACACTGACTACAGATGGCACTGCGCGCATGATAGTCCCACTTGCATCCCTGCTACCCGATCCCTCCCTTCGACATTACATGTCCTCAACCCTCAAAAATGGGGCGAATAGTAGTTTTTAAATAGAATACTTTTGACATAAGAATGCTATGGCAATTTAAGGTATTGTAAGAAGTTGGCTAAATGCAAATAAGGACTCTACAAAAAATACTTTCTCTCCAAGATCCAAGGATACTGCCATGGTTAGTGCATAGAGCGCATATTGACTGGAGGGGCACATCCCGTGCAGCGAGGCAAGCACGGACGGTCCTCGCGGCTGCCATCTTGGGATTGGAGAAGCTCTCTACCTCCCAGATGATTATATAGCGACATTCTTTTCGATAAAGCTGGCATCATACTCTAAATGGTATAACACGTGATACAGCTTGCCTCAGGTGGTCATTTGCTGTCTTATTCTGCAGGCTTTGAATCTAGGCTAGTTAGGCACTAGGCGAAACTGTAGGCCATTCCGTTGGTCTCTCTACTTGGATTGTCCGCATCATTTTCCATTATCAGGTGTTTCCTTCACCTCAACCTTGAGGCATTGCAATGCGCTTGACCTGTGGAAAGGCTTAACACTTCGTCTACAATACATTCTAGCCTAAAACACAAGTCTTTCTATTTTAATTTGGAACTATCGCCTATGAGTAAAGGCAACTGCCTAATTTCATTTTACAGGGTAGGCTTGTCTCTTTAGTCGTTCTAAAATGTATTCCAATGAGCACTTTGAAAATTGTTTGAAATGTATCATTATTTTGGTTTTTTTCTGAACATTTTTTTTCACATGCCTTCTTAGCTGGGTCAAAGGTATTCAAGGAGACCCTTTAGCCTGGAATATATGACCAAGTTTTAGCTGGCTCTTTCGACAAGACTGAGGCCGAGTGCTGTACGGCATGCTGAATGCTGCAAATGCATACTTTGCTCAAAAATCCAATGGACGTTGACATTGGATTTTTGACCATAGCTGGCCTGGCGCGGGAAAATGCGGGGCCCCCTGCGGCAAATACATTGGACCACCTCTGGGTTCCGGAGGCTTGCCCCATACTTCATTTTCGATTATTGAAGTTACATCAGGAAAAAATGAAAATCACTACAATTTCATTAAGTAAGGGAAGGAGAGGAACTGTGTAGGTTGTCCTAAGATTTAGCGTTCGTATCCTCGAAACCTTTGCCACCAGCTCATCGATCACTTTCTTGTAATTCAATGACCTGATGACCTCCTTCTCGATAGAGTATAGCTAGTCTTGTCAGGCGTTCTTGTGACATGCTTCATCTTAGAAAAGTTATAAACTGTTTCGGTTTGGAGAGGTTTCTTTTTGCAGATGCAACTTTCACTGGAGCTGAGTAGCACTCTAAGAATGATGGACACGTTAAGATGCACGGGCCTGACTACTCTTGTGAATTAATCGCGGAGTTCCAAGAGCATCAAGTGGCTCTGGTAGAAGTGTAGCCAGACTGCGAAGCTCATCGACGAGGTCGTTGAGCTATTGAGGTTAACCTTGAAAAAATGTGCCTAAACTTTGCATCGATGATTAGGGTTGCTACCCGT